AAGAAATGTTTCACAATTCGCAAATGCACAGGACGCGATTCACAAATAAATGCCAGGCAAAGTTGTGATTGTGACATAAATATATATTTGTGAATATGTTTTTTATTTGCAAATCTCATTTTATTTATTTGTGAATTTAATTCATGTTTGTGAAACTTTAAGATTTATTTGAGGATCTCATTCTATTTATTTGTCAATATGTTTAATTTTTTTTAATCTCTTTACATTTATTTGTGGATCATAATCTATTTATTTGGAATTAAGCAACAATTCTATCTCCATAGGGGACTCCCATGTTAATTGGAGTACTTGGATGGGCGAGTGCTGGTGCGAGTGGGTAGACACTTGTGTGTGTGTGAGGGATGCGGGAGAATAAAATGATTCACGGGACTCCCGCAAAATAGAAATATCTAAACATAAAATATCTAAAACAAATAAATTGTTATTCATCTTGTCACGAATCCGGTCTATGGACTTCCATTCAATCGCCACCAGAGGTCACTCTTCCATTACATTGACTCTCACACTACACAAACTGTTGCATGTCATCCCGGACTACATATCCCATCATCCATTGCACTGATTGCACACAGCTGTAACCAATCTCACACTCACTATATTACACCCACTCAGGTCCTTTCCAAACTGCCGAGTATTGTTTAGCACTTATCACTGTTCGTTGATAGCTACTTTACGGAGCCTGTTTATTGATTTCCTGTTTCATAGTCTAGTCTAGTCTAGCCTAGTCCTGTCATAGTTGTGCCTTGCCTGCTTTCCCGTGTTACCTGATTTTTGCCTGTTCATCTTGGATTAACCCTTTGCCTGCTGTTTCGGACTGTGTTTGCACCTTGCCTGGACTACGGCTCGTGTTATTGGATTTCCCTTCTTGTCAAGCCCTCTGGATAACGTTCGCTGTCTACTGACTCACACCCGGTTTGGATTACTCTTTTGTCTTGCCCTCTATTATACCTGTTTGCCATTGTCAGAACCTTGCCTGTTTTTATGACCACGCCTTTAAATAAAAGCTTTGTAGATGGATCCGCACGTCTCATGTCTCGTTCACCCTGTAACACATCTATTGCACAAAAGCAACATGAACTAA